GTATCACTAGAATTCTGTCTCTCTGCGGTACCTGCTCCACCATTTGAGAACCATTGCCTCATTCTATTGTAATTGGCCTCAGAGGACGTTCTGTTCCTTCAACATCCTCCACAACAGAACTTAATTGGTCAGATTCATTAGCGTCTCATCCTCCCTCTTAAAGGATTTTTTTTTTTTTTTTTTTTTTTTTTACTAGCACATACAAATCTATACACAGAGTCATATGTGGTTACATAGTTTGACATGTAAAACGCCTGACCACTGCAGTGCAATGACAGACAGGCAGAGACAGAGAACTGAGAGCTATGCCTTATGCAACACACAGCAGCAGATTAGTGACAGAACAGGGCACAGATGCTGACGCGCTCTGGGATTTCTCTCCCCTCATCCTCCCATCTCAGCTTCATATTCTTTTCCTTCGTCTGCTCATTCCATCACACTAGTTACTCAGCTCAGTAATGTATTAAAAGCTCTCATTTTAAAACTCCAAATTCACCAACATGACACTAATAGGTCCCAAATCTACATTATGGGTAAATGCAATATCTGGGGCTGAATAGGTTACACAAAGTGGTTTTTACACAAGACATCTTATGACATAAAAATGATCAATAAAACTAATGATAATGGATATGATTTAAATAGCTCTTTTCTTGGCAATGATAGTGCTTCACTAAAGTCCATTATTCATCCCACTCTACTATCAGACACTGGTGTGGGCAAAGCCAAGTCTGCAGCCACAGTCGCCCTGAGGCATGACTGAAAAAATCTGGAACCTTGCTGTGCCAAAAGACTTTCCTACCACGCTATGTGACAAAATACAGTAGGGGACAGAGTCGTGCTCAATGGCTCATAGGCAGAAGGAAAACAAACCAAATGAAATCCTGTTGGGCAAATAGTTCTTCTTCTAATCTACCCTGCATACTTTTTGTGTGCGACCAAAGCCCCCCAAAAATATATAGATTAAAATTAAAATTATATTTTTGGAACAGCAGGCTCAGACTATTCCTGCACAACCCCAATGGCTGGTGGATGAATTCAGCCTTTGACAGGAGAGCATACTGTCCTTGGGCAAGACAATCCCCCCATCTCTCCTTTGTAATAATGTTGTGAATGAGTAGTCGAAGAGGCCGTGGTCACTTTTTGAATTATTAATGTGAACTGGTGCACATTGTATCAATCAGTGTCACTTTACATTTATCACACTCTTTTAACTATGTATTGTAGCACTGTAATGCTTATGACATAGGCTGACCTCTTGTCCATGTAGATCCCTATTGAATTATCTCAACATGTGTTTTCCTGGTTAAATAAAGGTTAAATAAAAATACAAAAGGTAGCCACTTTTCTAACAGTACACTGTGGTAAGGAAATTAATGATGCATGAGTGAACGTAGTAATAAGTTTGAGCCTCTACAAACATTTTAGAGTAATGCATTATTATTACAACATAGACCAAGTAATAACCACTGTTTTTCTCTCAACATGAATAAATCAACTGGAAATTATGTAGAAACAGCATAAGTGTTTCCACCATATGTGCCATTTGATTACGGGAAAGGCCCGTTAACCTGGCCATTGCTTGACAAGATTGCAGTGTGTTTACAAATGTTTTCATCAGTTATCTTAAATACATTCAAGCTACAAAGGCCCACAGGCTGAACAGGCACACAATGAACAGTGTCAAACGCAGTGCTGAGGAACTAACAGGACGAATAAATGTTTTCATCTGCTGGAGGGGGAACATAATAACGGACATCAATTCAAATAATACCACATCAGGGCAATTGTAGTCTTTGAGAACGGTGCATTTACAGCTACCTCCTGTCTGCACTCAGCCCCCTCCTCTCCTCCTCCCCTCTTCCTCCTCCTCTACTCTTGTTCCCTTTTGTGGTTTCCCCCCAGGTGGGAAGTCATTACAGTGCTCTCACGGTGATTTTTCATCAGTTTTTAAAAAGGGCACGTAAAGGAAAAACAGTGTTGTTGAAAGCCTGCCGAGTGTCACTGCACCATCAGAAACATCTCTGACCTGCGTGGTGCACTTGGGGCTGGGGGAGCAGAGAAAGCAGCGGAGATGTAATTAAACAGCTTCTGTGTCTTCAGGTGTGTTGGAAAGAGACAAAAAAAGGCAGTGACAACAGTACAATGGGCTTCTCTGTGTTTAGAACAGAGCCTGAAGATGATGAGATGGGTAGTAATGAGTTATCCTGCTGCGTTTTTTATCTATCTGAGTCATTTTAGGCCTTCAAAAAGGTATCCTAGCAGCCTTCCAATTTATTTAAATGTTTTATGATTGCAGAAGATTTTAAAAATGTATTTGCAAATGTTCAAGGTTGTCTTAATTTAAACAAAATCTGAATGCAACATCAAAATTGTTTCTCTCTACTGACATTTAAGAACCTTGAATGTATGACTTTGAGTCTAAATGATTCCAAGAACCACAAGTAAGTAGAGAGCGGTGGGGGAGATAGGGGATAGGGGGGACACAAATGAGCACTTGACCTTTGAATGCAGGACAATACAGGAAAACTCAAATATGCAAAAAAAATAATACAAATCAGAGTAAGCAAATTATCAGGGGAAATCATTATAACATAGTTGAAAGCTCATATTTTGTTCATTTTCATTTGGATGATTCTCTTGTACTTTTACTTTTGGATTACAGTGAAAGTTTACAAACTCAACTGTAATGGGCTGGAAAAATGAGCAAATTATGTGTGCCATATTGCTGAGCTTACAGTAAAGAGTCCATCCAATTGCCAAAAAAATGAAGGGAACAAAACATAATGGGTGGTGAGGGAAACACAAAGATGGGTGGTCAATATTTCAAACTATAGAATACACTTTGGTGCACTGGCCTCTAGCCAGCTATGCAAAATGCACAACTACCATTTGCTCTCTTTATACTGGAGGTCATTGGAAACACAACACAAGGTGAGTCAACCACTTTGCATCGTCATTTATTTCCAGTGCTGGAGGGACAGAGGCGTGCACCATGTATCAAGGGACCACTCAGGGAACACAAAGTCTAAAGGCAATAATTCATTCACTGCATACACACCAACTGCGCACTGACAGGCATAACTCAAGCCACTTGCATAAGCACTCAGATACAAGACCCCATTTTAATATTGCATATCTTTTTCTGCTACACTGATTTTGACTATATTAATAATATTTGCTATTAAAGATTCATCAAGTGACTTTTTGGAGATCCCATCTGCTTATCTCCATGATGATGCTTTTTACTGAAAGGGCCCACAATAAAGCATTAAACATATCTATTTGAAAGAGAAGTAGGTGATGCCATTAGGCCAAGTACAGAGTGCATGTTTTTCAAGGTATTTTCTGACCTACAACCAAATAACATGTAATAAAAAAAAAATGCAAAATAGATATGTTTAATGCCGTGCTGTGTACACAGCATAAGGGTATTTTGGAGCTGGAAAAACTTCTGTAAATGAATAAATGCAAGGTAGATTCCACATTAACATCTCGAGGACAAGGAGATAGCTGATCTGCCATCAAAAGTTACATAATATACTTTCAAATATTCCTTGACAAAATGGGGCTACTACTTCCTGTAGAAGCACAACCATAAAAGGCAATGATGCGTTGTACATGGGAAAAATATTGAAGTCATCATGGGTGATGAAGAAATTAATTTATTGTGCGACTCCAGCAGTGCGTGAAAACAAAGGAGTCCAAATGAAACGTAATTAGAACCAGACGTCACACTGCGTTTAGTCATACTTTTATTTGTAATTGTTTGTTTATCCCATGACAAAGCTAACTATTAACTTGAGAAAAGAAATGTTGAGCCAGGGCCAGTTATGAAAGAAGAAAACACTGAATCTTCTTTCCTTTCTGCTTTTCTCTTCTTGAGAAAATAATGATTTTAAAAATGTATCCAGGCCTGGTACTAGCACGAATATTACCCTATATATTGTTGTCTTTAAAGACCAAAATGTGAAAGAGGATTTAAACAGGGCAAATGATGCAGTGTCAATTCAGTCCATGGGGTGAATGTATAGAGGCTCCAGACCCAGAGAGAGAGAGGCAATAGTGGCCACAAAGGGAAAGATATAAATAAAGTGACTGATAGCAGCTCGAGTGTGCGTTTGTGTGCGTGAGTGCGCGAGGGCGTGTGTGTGTGTGTCCTGGCTTGGCTCCCAGGAGCAGAGACTTTTGTGGTGCCAAAGTTTAGCTGGGTCTACCACCATGCCAGGGTCAGTGCTGACACGCAGCAAACCAGTCATAGCAGCTTAAAGGTGCGCTATGTAAATTTTTAGTTGAGGGATCAACACCTGCTTGTTTCTATGGATATGCCAATGCTCTGTCTGGAATGTTCCACAGTATAACATGAAACAGCTCTATCTTGCATTTATTCAATTACATGACTCTAAAAATAACTACAAAAACAGACAATCTGGATGTGAGCAGAGTTGCCTCTGCACAAATCTGACCTGTAACTTGGTCTGGTTTTGTCTCCATGAAGATAGAAAGGTTTATTAAGATACTGTGAAACATTCTAAACAAAGCAATAACACCTCCATTAACAATTGTAAAAATACAATTAAATATGCAAATGAATTAACACTGCCACTGTGCAACTTTTTTGTCTTATTTCACTGTAAACTCAAAGTCATAATTTGGTTCCAACATAAAATATATTATTAACAATCAGTGGTGGCATACATTTGGAGTGTGAATACCATCACACCAAATCATCACCTTCCTGTTGTGTAATAATCACTATATTGTTGTTGATTATGGCCAGATGCCCTTCCAATTTATTTATCCAGCCTTAGGACTGTCAGAAAAAATTACCCCTGACTGAGAACTTCCTTTGTGCAACCATATAACATAGAGACCACATGTGTCCAAGCTATTTCAATAATAACCTGGTGATACATAGAGAAGACTGCAGCAGCTAGATACAAAAAGGGATGGAGATGGGTGAGCGATATGGAGAGAGAGAGTGAGAGAGAGAACAGGAGTTAGAAAGGAGAGTGAGGGGGGGAGGACGGAGGATCAGTACGCTCAGTGAGGATACAGAAACCAGCAGCAACAGAACGCGAACAAGAGACACCGGCGGAGTTCACTGGTGACTGAGGATTATGTGGCTGACAGCACGCTATGACACCTAGGCAACAGAGGAAGTGACCAGCATGCCGAGGAGATAGGAATCAAGGTAAGGAGGAATGCTAATGGATGAAGGACACTTGTTAAGCAACTAGACGCATACAAAGTGCATCTCTGAAAGTGTGGGAGAGGTCTTTGTAAATTTCTCATTTCTATTGCAGTCATAAGAAATGTTTTCCTAACATTGAATAAGGCAAGCTTATTCAATGTTTAAAAGCTTAAGAGTAATTGAGTATTGGCAAACTGGAGAGTGGAGAGCTTTAATTGTATAAATCCTTCGGGTTTAACCTCAGACCACACAGGACAAAGTGTTCAATACTTGGTCCCCTCTTATCGGTAAAAGCTACATTTCTATCTTCTGTTCACTTAAGTTCTAAATGAAATAGAGACACAGGGATAGAGCAGAAGTGGTCAGATGCTGCAAGTGATCTATACTCTTATGTTTGTGTGGCCACATTAATGGTGAGTAATCCAGTCCATCTGTCACATGGGGATTTGAATCAGAAGAATGCATTCAGAAAGTAAGCCAGCATTTGTGTTATGGTGACATTTATGAAGTTTTAACAGGCTTTCCCCGTGTGTGTGTGTGTGTGCGTGTGTGCGTGTGTGCCTAGGTGTGTGTGGTGCGTTTGTGTGCAAAAGCCAGATTTGTATTTGAAGCCTGCAAAGCAATCGTCCGAACGGCGAGTGTAGCTTTAATATGGGATTATATTGCAATAACCCTTCTCTTATACACTAATGCTGCCCCTGCGCATGTGTGTGTGGGGGGGATATGTGTCGTCATGGGGACATAAATCTGTTTGCACTGGATACTGCAAATAATAGAATGAAAGTGTTAAAGGTGGATTTTGGCTCAAGATAATAATATGGTGTGTTAAGATAGTGTACTGTATCTGGTAGAAGACTGTTTTTAGGTCTTTAAGAAATGCATTTAAATTTACAAAGAGCACCATTTCTCAGATGAATCTATATATGAAACTATGAGTATATCTATTTGATAACAGTAAGACAAAGCCAGGTGCCATGCATTCAGGGGTAAATTCTGCTACAGCATTAGTTATCCTCGTAATTAAGATATTGTCAAAAATACATTTTCCAGAGTCATTTCTCAGAGTTTTTAATTATATTACAGATTTCAGAAGAATTCATGCAGAAAATTGTAATTATGTATAGGCTCAAGCTATAGAGTTTGAAATGTCCCCTGAAAACTGATATCTGAGAGTTCATGCCTGAAGGGAGATGCAAATGTTCGACTGGAATTTGTTTACAGACCGTTGCACACACAACACTAAAATGAAAATTTCAGCTTTTATAGCTTTGTATGCAACTTTTCAGCCTCCATTGACCACTCGCACACCTGGTTCAAAAAATAAAATATTCTGTCACAGCAGGTGCAGTTTGCTATTGTATTTGGAAAAAACAGAATAGATAAAAGAAAAAATTTAAGAACCAAAATGGATTTAAAATTTTCAATGAAATTCTTAGATGGATCAAGGGAGAGCATTTTTGTACAATTTCCATTGTAAATATTGTGTGTGTGTGTCTGTGTGTGATTGTGTGATTGCCTGTGTGTGTGTGTGTGTGTGTGTGTGCGTGTGTCTGACACTACATCAGGCTATATAGACAGCCATCAGTCAGTCAAAACAGATCACAATGCCATTAGGCAGAGATTTACTGTAAAATTAAAGGTTAAAAAATGCATCTAAGTTCATTGATATACCATTAAGTGTAGAGAGCATACCAAGCTATGCAAATTAGAGACCTGAGAAGCCTAATTATTCAGAGGCAATGACGTTAAATGCACCCTTAAATGTCAGATGATAGAAAGCCATAAGTGGGTGACATGGACACAGAGGCGCTTCAATATAAATTGGTGGGTGTTTGCGCGCCACTGTCACTCCAAAACTCTCCAGACAAGCTGTGAGCACGAGACACGCCACTGACGAGATGAGGTGAAAGACAAAAGGACTATAAGTCAGGAGGACGCCAAGATGGATGTGCACGAGGAGAGGAGCAGTACATGGTGGGTACCGCCAGAGAGTGGGGTGCGAGGAGGACAGATAGATTGGGGGTTAATGATGGAGAGATTGGGCTGAGTGCACGGACAGGATGAGTAATATGGCAGTAGATGGGATAAAAGAAGAGAGGTGTTGAGAAATACAGGAGATCAGGACAGGTAAAAGGGGAGGATAAAGAGAGGAGGTGACAGTAAGAAACCCCACAGTTAAGATTCAAAATGACACCACACAAGGGGTCTATTTTAATGACGAATTACTTTAAAGTTATGGGTGGTTGTATTTAATGTCTCATGGTGCACTTTGAGCTTTTTGTAAATAAACTACCCTAACCTAAGCTGATGAATTTTGTGGAGGCAGTGACTAGGTGATAGAAGCGGTCGCCCACCAACCCAAAGGTTACTGGTTTGATTATTCTTTCTGACTCATCTACCACTAGAATAGGATCCACTGACACATGGTGCTCAAGATAGTATTTTGATTTGTTTAATTGAAATTTATTTTAGTTTGCATCTTGTAATCGTGGATGGTAATAAGAAGATTTTACAAAATTATAGCAGTGCAAGATTAGTTAGTTTGGACATCACCTTCAAGTTGAAAAACAGAAAGCAGCTTCTGTAAATACACAGGAGAAGGTCATATAATCAATCAATGTGTCCTGACATGTCAAAGTGGAGGTGTCACTGACTGGGTTGCAATATAAAGATAAGCATCCGAAAGCTTAAATAAAGAACGAACCTGACAGCATATCAAGTTGACATAAAAGTCAGGCCAAGTTTAGACCTGGTTTAGTCCCGGTTTAGTTCTGGTTTAGTCCCCTTTTAGTCCTGGTTCAGTCCCAGCTTAATCCCGGTTTAGTCTTGGTTTAATCCTGGTTTAATCCTGGTTAAATCCCAGTTTAGACCTGATTTATTCCTGGTTCAATCCTGGTTAAGTTCTGGTTTAGTCCTGATTCAGTCCAGGTTTAGTCCTAGTTAAGTCCCAGTCCTGGTTTTGGTTTTTTTTGGTTTTCTATAGTACAATAATACCTACTACTAAGTTTGTCCAACCGCTTACACAATTCCAAAATCACCGTTATGTCCAACTTGACTATTGAAGAGTGCTCTCAGACACAAAGCAAACAAATGAAGCAGGTAGATAGGTTTATCAATACCCTTCTTCTGTATGCGACTGCTCTTTCTCGACTGTAATACTCAAATAATTTTAAAATATTGACTTGTTTTGAAAGACATCAAAAGAACCGAGCAGGTATTTGAATGAGTAAAAACTGAAAATTAACAATTGCTTTAATCTTTCTTTTTTGTAGCTACTGGATATTTGATATTGGACTGCAGTCACGGGTACAGTACAGCAATTACCCAGTAGCAAACAATGTAATTCGGACAAGCACAGAACAGCTTTGCAATGTCAAAAAAACCAACTATATTTCTGTACAACGTCCCTCTAGGTATTCATAGAAGAGAGCTAGAAGTTATAATTTTTTATTAAAGCCTTAACAGAAAAACAGGTGCATACAGAAAGGTAAAATTAATTTGAATACATTGCTCACTCACTGCCTTTAAGCTGTACCACCATGTGCTATGTTCCCATAAAAATATGCAGCCCACTAGTGAAATAGCAGCCTTAGTGATAGCCTTAACTACTGCTCTTTTGGGAAGCCTGTAATGAGAGAGGTTTTTTTACTATCAGGAACAGGCACAGTCGCCTCAAACAATGCCTCAGTGAGAATTTGAATTATGTTGAAAAAGATGCTTGGCTCCATCTTACCAATATTAACTTTTGAGGCTTTTTGTGTTCTTTTGGAAAAAATGTTAATTTAAGTGCAGTAACCGAAAAGACAGTAGCATTAACTAATTAAAGCATATCAGACAGACGTTGTTCTTATTCAGAACTGAAGAATTATTCATGCATCTAATATCAATGGCAAAGTCTACTTTATCTCTATCTGCATTGCAGTATACAGGCCCTAGCTAATTCTAATGAAAAAATCACTACATGTATTGACTGTTAGGAGACTCGAAATATTTCAGCTGTTTGTTGAATTAAAGTGATGTGGCAATAACAACACTTAGATCTATACACATAAAAAGACACAGAAGAGCCTATTGGAAGATTTTGCAGGCAAATGTGTTCTCAGAATTTATTCAGTTCATTCAGGTGCAGCAGTAAAGTCAAAGCTGTAATAGACACATCACTCCATATTTTAACAGATCAGTGAAGTCTCTCTAATAAAATGAAGGGCTTCACTCCTGTCACATCCCCAGTTATCCACGATGGAATAAAATCAGTCTCTAAGCCTTTATAGTGTCCAGTGTCCTAACTGACTTGATATGCCAGTATATGGGCTGGCTGATATATTGGGCTCCCTTTTTAGCATATGGGCTATTGGCCTTAAATCTTCAGCACAGGCCAATTTGTTGTATAGGCCAACCTGCTGCCTAAAGAATACACATGCTTCATTTGAACACTTTAGTGTGAAGAGAGAACTGCACAAAGCATCTCTAAACTGCCTTCTCATAGGCTTGTGGTAAAACAGGGCTGTGGATGACTTCATAGCAAATTGAAATTACTAAATTTGGGGAAAATATCCAAAACGGCCCTCTAGATGGGAATCCATATCAGTTAGTTTCAAATCTTTAAAAACTCCAAATAAGTCAATAGAGCTCAGGATCTAACTGCAATCCAAGGTTAAAAACATGGTGTTTGCGGCAACACATCCCAAAAGTTCATAGAGATACATTAGCCTAAACATTATTTTAAAAAAAAAAAAAGAAAGAAAGAAAGAGCCTTTAAATGCCAAAATATTGTTTAAGTTTAGTATTTATCATCTTCAAATTTCTATTGTTTCACTGAAAATTCTATGATGACATAATCAAGAGCTGTAGAGCACCATACACCCAAGATCAGAACGCATATTAAAGCATGTTTTATTTTGTTGTGTTGTTTTAATTAATGCTAAAACCCCACATCTTGTCCTAGAAGCCTATATGGAAACATAATTACAATATTTTTTTCATTGAACTCTGTATTGAATGTTTTCTTATTAACATAGTAAATTAGGAATCTGAAGCCTGAGGATTACAACTGTATACAAATGCTACCAATATTGAAACAGACCTCAGAGACAGCCAAGTAGGATAAATGACTATATTGCCCACAATGCCGAAAATGGCTGTCACAGAGGGCTCATAAAGTGCCAGTTTATTTTACCCTGGCGGTAAGGAGGCAGGTGATAGTCAGGTGAAGTCGAGAGATTACGATGCAGAAAAAGCGAACCCTGCTACACTCGCACACACACAGACACTCAATCGGACTGAAAAATGAGCGTCACCTTGAAACGACAGCGATGCGACTCACTGGAGCATTGGGTGCTCTGTTACCACGAGCCCAGAGGTGGTGCCCGCTCCTTTACACAGCCACAAAATTGGACTCACTGTCGGCCTGTGTAGATAATCCTGTGAAAGTCCTGACTCCTCGACTGGTAAATTAAATATATAGCAAGTGTCAACAGATTTAACGAAAATGTGCACCTGATAAGACCTGATATAGGCAGCTGATATACAATGTGTCAATTTTATTTATTTTTTTCCTATCCTTAAAGGTGCACTGTATAAATTCTGTGGTGGGGCCACCAGCTTGTCTCCATGGAGATGTTATTGCTTTGCCTGGTATGTCCCAGAGTATGACATTTAGCAAATCTATTCCCATGGTAGCAGTTAAGTACCGCCACCAGGCCAAGTTACAGGTCAAATCTGTGGAGATGTTTACAGTATGAATTCAAGTTTTTTGTTGAATATGAGCAATAAAAACACCTGTAATTAAAAATGTTTAAAAGTTGAATGTCATACTATGGAACATTCAAGGAAAAGCAATATGATGATACACAGTGAACCTTTAATCTATTAGTTTTATTTCAACAAAAACTATTGAAGTAACTTTATAAAACATGTTTAAAAAAGGGAATTGTTTTTTGCATAGCATTTGAGAAGGATAAATAAAGAGGTTATATAATGAGCAACAAGTTTATAAAGACCTCCAGCCAACTAAGCCTGTTAAAACAAAATATATGGGACAAATAAAGAGCTATTTAATGGCACAAGATGTAAAAGGATACAAAACTATACTTTTCATGGCTTAGTATAATAGCGATTGTTCTAAAGGTCTTTGCAGAAGCCTTCCTAAATAATTTAAAGAGAATAAATAAGTCACAGGACACCCCCTTAATTAGGCATATGCTTAATCTCAAAAATTGGATATCTAGACAGATGATTACAGGAATGCAGTGGGCTGATGTCTTCTGTCTCTATCTAAAAAAGCCAGACATGGAAAAGGAGCGTGTTTACATCATGCCGTGACACAACTTTTATCGCTGTCTTCCTCTTATGAATACCCTTATGACTTGTGTGCCTTCTTCCTATACCTCTGTTATGAGCTTCTTTATTATTCCCAAAAGCAGTTCCACCTCTTTCTCCTCCTCGCCTCCTTTTGCACAAGCAGAGGTGTCATGTGACGAGGGCGTCTGTCTACGATTAAATATAGGGACCAAGGGGGAAAGCGAGAGAAAGCTAAATCAAAGAAGCACACAGCAGAGAGAGATGGGGGAGGTGTGAGAACAAACACTGGAGAAGATGAAAGAGTGACAGGTCGGCAGCCATGTTTGATGACAAAGCAGGGGGAAGGCATACGTGTAAATAACAAGGTGACTATTTATGTTTGTCTGGGAAGTTTGGGTGGGACTATGGGGCACGTTGAAGAAGGTGTTAAGACATAGAGGGGGTGATTTGGCAGGTGCTTGAGAGCCTGCTAGATGGACGAAAATGAGCTGCAGTAATATTACCTCCAATTGACTTAGTCTAAAATCCCAAGGCACAGCAAATAGGCCCAAACACTCACTATAACATATGCATGAACATCTGCGCCCTTCTTCACAAAAGCTGTTCCCAAGAAAATATCAACACTATCGGCAGTTTCTTTCAGCAAACAACCTGCTCCTGTGCGCACTTTATTTACCAGTTGGAGCTGATTCACAAACAGAATTAAGCTCCAGAAAATACAAGTGGGAGGATGAGTGCGTGAGTTCTGAGAAGTGTGAAGTCACCACTTTTCTGGGCCAACTCATGCTCCCATCCTCAGAGTCGAAATCAAAGTCATTAAAGACTGTTCCCAGACTGGTTGAGTCATTAGCACATCAGGTACGAGTCAAATCAAATAAACTTGATTCTCTGAAAGGGAATAATCCAAACCTTAGTCAAGGCAAGTTAGGACCAGTGATTCATATCTGATGTACTGCCGTGTGACTCAGTGGTTGTGCAGCAGAGCATAATGTGGATCTTGCCAATGTGTTGTGAGTTTCCCTCCCTTGTCTTTGGCCCATTTCCAAACTATATGCTCTACCCTATAGGCTATACTAAAGCCAGACAATGGCCCAAAAAGAGAAGCTGAAAAAAGTCTTGGACAAAAAATACCTCAAGTATCACATATGGTGCTACTAGTGAAGGATTATAGAGGAGTGAATTTCGATTAAAATATAAATCAGATATTATATTTAATTTGAAAATAAATTAAATTTGCAAAAGCCCAAGAATGCGATGAAGATAAAGTAAAAAAATATTAGTTTAAGCTCTCCTCAAAATCTCTTAAAAAGTCAACGTCAGAGTATTATGCCCACTAATCCTTGTCCTTAAAACGTCAGTCCAGTCACGGCCCAAGTTTGGTCACTAATATCTTCTTCTGGGTCATCACTTATAAGACACATAGAAACACTGTATTAATACTTGTAAAAACAGTAAAAAGACAAGCAATTAAAGTTCTGACAATTGCTTTAAGTTCTAATATATTTCACCTTGAAAAGTGGCATGGCTCTGGTCAAAGTGGGCATTGGTATGAATCACAGTAATCCTGACACTATTCCAGAATACTCATGAACCCTTTAGCGCCTCAGCAGGCCCTTGACAGTCAGTCTGCATTAACACCTGTCTCTTCGGACGGAGCTCTCCATGTTGACAGAAAATCCAGAGTACCAATCCACCGTGTGAAGACGTCTTAAGGCCTCTCAAAACCGTCTTGAAGCAGCCATAAAATCAAGGCTGTATTTCATGTAATATTGCCATGTTTCCCCCCTTTGACCTTCTTCAGAGAAAATGTGCACACACACCAGCTGGGACCTACAAGCTCATTCTCTTTCTCTATCCATAGATCAGTCACAAGAAACAATGACAATTTATGCCACCTGGTGCTTTTCAATACTCGGCGCACAATCAACCAAATCACTTTGTAGGGAGAAATCATTTAAAAAATGAAAGACACTAAAATAAAATATAAAGCCACATAATTCAAGTATGTGTAAAAGAAACAGTTAAGCTACATGAGGAACATATCTATGCATCATGCAAATTACAATACACAACCTTAAAAGCAGTAATACATCATTGGCCCTTAAATACAGGGCTTAATTGATTATAGAAATATTTTTTGGTTAATTATGTTAAGGTTAAGGCATTCATTACTCTCCCTGTAGGGAAATTTGTCCTGTGCGTGTGATGATTATTCAGTGCAACTGAGACAATCTGACAGAAGCAGTGTGCAGCCACAGTGCAATGCTCAGGGACCCATCTCCTCATCTAATCTTGGTCAGAGGGTTGACATTTGTTACAATTCACAATTTATTTGATGAATAAACTGTTTCGAAAAAAATTTGAAAAATATTAGATATTACAATTACAACAATACATTACTATTACATATGCAAAAAAATAAGAACATGCAATGGTTGTAAATGAAATAAACAGGATATTGAGCAGGGAAAGGAGGTAAACATTTAGTACTAACACAGCCCACAGGGTCTACTCAGACACTCAACATTATTCTCATGCTTTGTAGCTCGTTTTAGAAAAAGACTGGACAGGATTTAGAGTATTGCCTCTCTAACTCCCACCCACCTGCTGATCTAATAAGAGGTTGATAGAGTTCTATTGATCCAGTCAATGTGCACATTCAGTCAAGGCTGAAGTCTTAATATGGAGCTTTAAGTGTCTAAAGTCTATGTCAAGTTGCCAATCTGACCATTTTATGCTTTCACTTTCTTCCTCACAATTCACTTACTCATTGTCCCTTTCTTTTTCTTTTTTTTTTTTTTAGGTCAAACTTAAAGTCTTCACCCCCTCTTCATCATGTGTGGTCTATTATTGAAAAACGAAGAGATCCTCAAGTACAAATCAGTAAGAGTCATCAGTGTCTTATCCAGCCAGGAGGAAGTCATTAATGAGGACTATTGGATTGTGGGATACTGAACTGTCTCGTGGTTTCAAAAACAGCTGCATAAGATCTTGGTGTGTGTGATCTCTCAGAATACACTCCGGCTCACCCTGGCTGATGGCATCACATGTCGTCTACTTCTTCAGCTCCTCAGGGGGCTAGGGGGCCCCTTGGGGCATTATGGGTAGGAGGGTCACGGACCCTACAAACCCAGTGCCTGCTCTGGGAGTTCCTCTGGCTGGGGGACGATGGGGTCCACTATGCAGTGTTGGGGTCCAGACTTCTCCAGGACTAAGACTTCTCCGCTCAATCAAACAAAACACCAGACAGTCCTCCACCTCACAACAGTCACTGCCCATAACAACCAAGAAAACAACAAACGTGGAGACAGCTGCCATCCCTAGTGACAACGACCGTCTGCCAGTGTCCAAGGAGACATCTCAGAATGAGATCAACAGCTTGACACAAGACGACATGGGGTCACAGGGCTCAGGCAGTGGCATTTACTGCCAGATCAAAACTATACAGAGTAATCCCAAGGATGCACGAGGTAAAAAGACTGCTCGCTATGCAAACGGCAGCGTGGTTACCTCGGACGCTGTGGGTGGGGTGTGCAGTGAGGGCGCAGACAGTAAAGAGCCAATCAGAGAGAGGAGAAGAGTCCAGTCCCTGCGTGGAGAGGGCCATCGCTCTGTGGCTAAAACAACTAGTGTCTGTACCACTGTCCATGCCACGCCTCCTCGCCCCTGTCGTGTCATGGCTTCGTCCCCATCCCGTCTGTGTGGGACATGTGGGAGGAGACGTTCACAGATTACACAGTGTACTGGGGCATGTCGCAGAAGGCCTACTGCTCAAATCACCGCCAGCCAGACTTTACCTAATCCGGCTCGGAAACAGTCCATGCCTGCCCACCAGGCCCAAAAAGACTCATCCACTGTGGACACCCAAACCAATGCCAAAACCACACATGTGGCAAAGTCCCACACATTTGTGAAGCCCAGCCAAATACCACAGCTGTCCCACACTATACCAAAAACACAGAGGTCACATTCAAAACATTCACTGAACAAAACCAATCAGTTCTCCCAGCAGCCACGTCCCATGTCTGCAGACTTCACCCAGTACAAGAACTCTGCCACACAAACAATAGAAACACATAACAACAGCATAGAACAAGCTACATCTGCAGAGGAGGTAAAAGAAACAGACAAAGAGGACTTCTTGAAAATAGATCAAACACAAGCACATGCACCAGTCCTTAATAATGCAAAACCTCCAGTCTGTTCCAATCTCACGACATCCAGTAGCACTCCACCTCTCCCCCCTAAAGTCAGCTCCAAACCCTCGACACCGGTACTGCAAACCAAAAATCAAGATGGCACTGATAACAAACAAAAGGATTATACAAAACAGAAAAGTAAATCATTTGAGGATCATGTCCTGCCTTGTACAACCCATTTGAAAGCACAATGTAATGGGGCCCCAGGTGGGCTGTTTGGGGCACATGTGGGACATGTACCACGAGGGCTGGAAGGACAGCTTCAGACAGTGGAGGAGAACCTACTGTCCAACCAGGAGAAGATCAAGGTGCTTCTCAATGTCATTCAAGACCTGGAGAAAAGCAAAGCACTCAGTGAAGGGTAAGAGACTGGAATGTGTCTGAAATATATATTTTAACAAATCTTTATTGTTTTACAAAAATATCTGAATTCAAAAATGTAATAACTGTAACTGACTAACTAAAATTTACTTGCGATATGATGCAGCATAAAATAATGAGTCATAATAGTTAAATATAATTATGGTAAAATAAAAGCATGGAAAAATTAGGAGTGAAAAAATAATTATATATGGCTGAAAATACTAAATTCAAAGACCAGTGTAGCTGGATTTAACCTTTGATAAAATTACTCTGTTTAATATACTTATGTTGAAACAAAGTTAGAAACCATTCATTTGTGTAAACTATGCCAGTGAACAGTAAAGTTACTTTTTGCCTTACTTCTATGTTTACATCTTTGAGATTAAGTTACACTCAACTTAATAAATTAGATATTACATGAGACAGAGTGAGCAGAGCCACAGAAAATGGAGGATATAGAGAAGTGGGTTATATTCGAGTTGTTATAGAAATATGTACCGACAGGCTTTCAAGTCAGTGTAATAGATTTAAAAGTCAGAGCTTTGGAGAATCACTGCGGCCTGTACTTCTGAGTGTGATCTAATCCTCTAGGGATGTACAACACCTGCCCGCCTGTAGTCAAGACTTCTCTCCTTTTTCCTTTTATCTGATTATTTCAAGACGCTGACTCTACCACTATAAAAAGTCCCTCTGGAGAGGTAGTAAAACATCGTCCTTAGTTAAAGCTTGTTTCGTTAATTCTAATGCCTTCGTCCCTGCTCTGATGTCTGATTTTTCTCGTGTTCGTCACTCCAAATGTGGCTTTTTTCTGTTCTCAATCAACACCTTTCTCTCCTTTCACTGCCACCAGCTATTCCCCCTCTCATCACCTCTGGAATCACTTCTTTCTTTTTCTGCTAATTAATACATTCTCTTATCTCCTTTGCTTTTCCTGCCTCAGTGATATCAATGTCTCCAACAAATTGTGATTCCCCTCTCACACCCACCCCATTCTCTGAGCCCCAGACAGAGCAGGGTGCATTCCTTTTCTGCTTCTCATGTGTATTCATTCTTAGTTCACCTCTGACCTCTGCTGTCAATAGTTAGCTTTTTACAATTCTTACAAGACAGTTGCCACAATTCTCTGCTCTCTCCTGGTTCCAGTGCTGTGCTCCTTTAAACCAACCCTCTTGTCCACACAGCCAGCTATGGTCTTTTCTTTTATAGTGGCATGCTTTCTCCTACACCACCTTCATTTTGTTCAGGGTCAACACGTGTGCCTGACTCTTTGCTAAGCCCTTTCAGATTAGCTTTAAAGAGGGTAATTAATGCAGTGCTGCAAAATAAGGGCCTTCTGGTGCTAATGAGTGTAGAAGATTACTAATACATGTTTTACCATGTTGTGTACATGCTTTTAATGAGGATGTGTGTCCTCATTTCACAAAAAATTGCAAATAGGACAAACATAGATGGTTATAGATAATCAATGGCATGATCCCTATTGGCGGCCTCAGTAAGTATGATGGTTTATTAATACATAAAAAAAACTGGCCATACTAAACTTTTGTTGTGCTCAGGTTCGATATAAGACAGTTACACCTTTGCATGATTAAAATGTCTTCTTTATCATCATAAATCAGCCTTTCAGTCAAGCACACCGTGCACAAGATGGGCAGTCAAAATATCTTGGCAAACTGATGCGTTTAATTACATGGCATTCAGAAAGAGCTCGTCAGACGTCATTTGGATCCCACTAGTTTGCTGCACTTCTGAGCTGTCTTTAATCACCACTGACACTGATAATGTTGCTATGGTTTATAATGTCATTGCACACAGCATTTATGAACATCAGTCAGAGAGATTTTATGTTATTTGGCCAGAGCAAATTAAATTTTCGCCATGTGGTACATTTATAGTATGTCCTTGGGAAATTTACAACATTGATGAGAACATTTCACACCATTTCAAGATCAGTCAATGACTAGACAAGACTGTGCACGTTGGATCTTAAAGGTGCACTACATAATGTTTTGGTTGGTGGTCCTGACCTGTAATTTGGTCTGGTTTGGTCTCCATGATCATAGAAAGGTTTAATATCATACTGTGAAACATTTCAGACAAAGTAATAACATCTCCATGGAGAAAAGCATCTGACAAACCCTCTCCCAGAAAAGTTACACAATGCGCCTTTGACTAATAAAAACTGGCAAATTCTTCAAGAAAAATAATGATAGATGCCTGACTCATACGTGTTTTTTCTACAGTCGAACCTCATACAGAACTGGTCAAGATATAAACAACTGTCCCACCTGCCAAAAGACAGCATGTATCATCTACAGGTAAATATTGTTTCATACTCCACATTTTCAGACTGTCAGAAAGCATGTTTATAGGACATTCATTTATTTTGGCATGTTATTGTCAGCATGGGACAGGGTTGACATGCAAACTCTTTATGATGGACCCAAGCCTGAGTAAATAAAGAAGAAAATGGCTTCCAGTGTCAAAGGGATGTCTAGAGAAAACAAAATTCAATTATTTTGCGATGAGCCAACTGATGTCTAGGTCACAGCAGACTTAATTGGAAATCAAATTCTTTGTAATTGTAGTTGTACTAGTTATACTTCCTTTAATCAGGTTAACACAGTACAATAGTTCAAGAGCCTATAGAATTTCAGAATTAGTCATCCTTTCATCAATATTGAACACTTTCCAAGAAACCCATTTACCCATAACACAATGTTGTTGCACACACGACTCCAGCAGCCCCCTAAATGATCTGTTTCCCTTTTCAGCCGTCCCCAGTGTGAGTGTGACCTAAATAAGTAATTGCATTCACAGATCCTCAGCTGAGCAGCATCCTCACAATCTGATTGTATACTTTGGTTTAATCCTCTAAGCGTGTTAGTGTTTTAACATTTTTATTATGAGAATCATCTTTTCTTTTGACAATAATCTCCCCATATGCCCTGTTCTCACATTAACAATTCGCTGTTCTTTTAATAAAAACAGACAGAAGAAAATAATGTGCCTGTAGAGATCCCAACTTGGTTACAAAGAATGAGTGGAAATGAGTGGCAAAACCTATGAATTCTGCTTTGTCTCATATCATGTAAATTTCTCCTTCACTTCTCTTGCTTGTCAAATATGCATCCAATCTCACAGCGTTAAATTCTCTATATCCCAATTAACACAGCGGGGTTCTAAATGTCTGCAATGTGCACTAAATACGATCTTTTCTCTGCTTCGTAAGAGACAAGGACCTCTCAAGATTATATCAACAGAAAAATTTTCATTTAAAAAGAAAACTGTTTTTGACAAGCATGACAAATAATACTCCCATTCACACTTGCCAGTTCCAATGAGAACGTATCTACTCTTTTTCCCTCACTGTTGTGTGTTGATGTACTGCATGCATTCAGTGTGAACACAACATTAGAACTCATAAAAATGCAAATAAGCGTGAGAAATATTTATGCACGGACATGAATGTTCAACACAAGATATTTTCCCGCTTTGTGAATTGTTTACAAACAGAATTGCCCTCACCACTGTTCTTTAACCACATATTTAATGCATTAGTATTATATAAAGCCACACAAACCTGGTTTTAAGGGTAACAGCCAGAAAATATGAAGGATGCGGAAAAGTACAAGGTACAGTTTGATAAGGGCTGGCAGCTCGCGGTTGTTGTTGCCGCCGTCATCCCTAATTAATCTGAACATTGAAAAACAAGAGAAAGGAGACACTCTGAAAGGCAAGGGTTGTCACAGTGATCGCAGACATGCTACAAATATCAGATGGAAAAAAACATATACTTTGTGCTAGAGATAATTAATGCGTTTGACAATAGACAGGTTCTTGGATATGCAGTACAGACCAAGAAGAAAAGAATGGAAGAATTCAAAAATGCTTGCATAAAATTACTAATCCTAACAGACTTGCCACAGTCTGTTATAAAGAAGAAACAAAAGAGTGGCATATGGCTATAACAGTGAGGGGTAAAACAACAGCAAAAACTCCAAGTGCAACAAAGTGAGTGAGAGAGAAGCAGGTGCACTACTTAACCCAAATGAAAGAAATCTATATTTATTACAAGTGTCTGAACAATATTTTCTTTGCACAAGGCAGTCAAGGTACTAGCTGTATTATTTATTCATAACAGACATCTTTCCTTCTCTATTCTCTCTCCAAACTCACAGCTTTACTTTTTACTTTTTACTTTTTGGCCAAATTCTCTTTTGGGAGGAGTTAGGGCTTCTTGTCTTTACTAGCAATCTATTTCACTCCAGTAGCTCCTTCTTGTGCCCCCATTCACATCTCTAACTATATATATAAGGTCTCTGTTAGAACATCTTTACTTATCATACCACCTCACCTATCCTAACACAAATGCACAACCTGTGACTCAGCTGACGTCATTGCCATTGGTGAACATTTAAAGGTCCCATATTACGCTATTTTCAGATTGATCTAATGTTGTTTCCTCATCAAAAAATATCTGGAGTTGTGTTTTGTTTCATTCACACATGTTTAACACTGCATATTTAGGCCTTCTCTCAAACATGGGAAGTGCTCCATTGTGTTTTTAACCTCCATACACTTACATTATAAATGGTAAACAGTAGCTGTTAAATAAAAACTACCGCTATATGAAATCACAAGATGAAACAGAGCATTCTGGGATTTGGAGATGTAGACAGACTAATAATAAAGGATTACTAAAACATATGTAAATGAAACAAAACACAACTTCAGGTAAGCTTTTGAGGAGGTAACAGCATTATAATATAGCTTAAACTTTGTCAATAAAAGCCCTTCTTATTTTCCCACAGCTTTTCTTAGAGTTTTTCCTTGCTGAGGAGGTTTAAGGAGGTTTGCTTGTTTCCTGTTGGTTCATCTGCTTGTTTTTTATTGACCAATGTTTTTCTGTTGGTTAAATTAACAATTTTGAAGCCATGTGAGGCGTGTATTGTTGTGGTTTTGGGCTCTAACAAGAATGAATAGAAATTAATTGAAAATTGAAACTGAAGTCCTTGCCCCAGACTAACATTTCCAGACATATCACTTTTGCAATACATCTGTTGTCAGATAAGCCTAAGAAGCCTGGGTCAAAAATACAGCTCTTGAGGGGTGGACAAGTCCTGCAGTGGTGAGATGTGGTCAGCCCCATATCACAAAAGCAGCAGCTCAGAAGGTTTTATAGAAATTGTTGATCTGCTCAAACAGATAAACAGTCTGAAAATCAAACAATGTAACAGACTAGAAATAAAAAAATGTCCACCATTCAACAAGTAAAAATAGACAAGCAAATGAATGATCGGTACTGATAGTAGTCCACATCAAGATGGGAAGACTATAGTCCAATCTAAAACACAGAGCAACAATACATTCATTGCACTTTTCTGGTGAATGGTCCGTCAAATGCTTTTCTCCATGAAAATGTTATTTCTTTGGCTGAAATGTTTCACAGTATGGTATTAAACCTCTCTATCTTTATGTAGAGCTGCTTAATGTCATACTGTGGAACATTTCAGGCAATGCAATGACATGTCCATAGAAAAAAGCAGGTGACGGACCCTCCACCAGAAAAGTTACACAATGCACTTTTAATATATAACACAATGTAGATGATAATGTGTAATTAAATAATTAATAATTAATAAACAATTTAACATATAAGTACATTTCATTTGCTCAATGAAGTAAGTCAGGAGGTGGGTGGATCTGTTCCTCTCTTCTTGAATGGTCACATGGCTCATTAGCCCCAGATGCCAGCCTTCTGCAGCTCCACCCAAAACAAATTCTCTCTCTCTTTCTCAAACTAGAGAATTACATAAAGATAATAAAATATAACACACACACACACAAAAATGAAAATCGCACCTCAAAGTCTACTACAGTATGTCTTGCAGCCATAGTAAGAGTAAGATCATAGATGATGGGAGAAATAGGAGAACTAGAGTACGGTAAGAGCCTAGGAGGGGCAGCTTTGAAAACATCAAAAGTGCAAAGAAGTCCTCTCTATCCTCTACGTCCTTCTTAGCTCCTCCATTTTTTTTTTCCCCAATTCTGTCCTCTACCTTTTCCTTCTCCTCCCTCATCTTCCATCCCAGCTGCCTGTGATCTACTGGTGCATGAAGAAGCAAAGGATCTGGACGTGAAATGAGTGCAAAGTAAAAGCCTATATTATCCAAGCATGTGTGTGCAGTGTGAGCATGCTGAGGGTGCATTTGTGTAAGATAGAAACAATCTCACTTTGAAAATTATATTAGCATAAGTTTAAAGGGTTGTCAGCGCTTTATATCACAGCTTCTTTTTTGCTAATGCCACTATAATATACACCCCCTGTTTTTAATCCTCTGTCTTTGATACAGTAAAATATAATTTTATTGGTTCAGAATATTAGAAAACATATCTATTTCTATGTTTTGTTTTTTTAAACATTTGCTTGTTTTTGCAGTGTGGAGCATGATTTCCGGCAGCAAGAAGGACGTTTGCGGGGAGTTATGGAAGCCCTGGAGGGGGAATATGATGTGCCTGTATCTCAGACCAAAACAATGCCAGCCTCCTCCTCCAGTCGTGCAAGTACCAAGGCGAAAGTCAAGAAACTGCGCAAAAAATGTTTCTGGTGGCTCTAAACATCCACTGAGGATTATACATTTTGCATTGGTGACAGAACATTTCGCTGGGTTACTGAGTGTGCTGGCCTCCCAAACCAGGAATGATGGACGCTGACAGAGCATTGGCCCCTGCTACAGTAATTTGTAATCAACAGTGAAATGGAAGTCAGAGCTCAGGTTTGAGGTAACAAGTGCTGACATCTTTGATGAAGCGATGGCATTTCCGAAGGCTCACAGGCAAAATGTTTGTCGTGGTGCTGAGTGGTTGTCTAGACAGACGGACAGACATGTCTCTGGATTTATGTCAAGACAGATCCACGCGCAATGCTGGGAATGAGTCTTTCCACTCAATCTGTGGGTGATTTGGGTAAAATAAATGACTTAAAAATTCAAGATGTTTACCAAACAACTGCTGTAATGAATGGCATAAATGCCTGAAATTGAATGTATTTTCAACAGCTGTTTAAGTACAATACAAAACATGCTTTTGTAATGGGACTATTGGGTGTAATAATGTTTGATTGAATGTTCTAGTTTCAGAGGGCTGTGCTAAGCTGCAGTAAGAGACATTTTCATCTCATCCTAGATGGGCCATGTGCCAGTATTTGTTAATAGTGACTGACAGAAATATTCTCCTTATTATTGCAAATATAAATAGAAAATAAACTCTATGTTACACCCAGACTCTGTTGTACATGAATATACTTGAAACATACAGTCTCTACTGTACTATTATTAGCCTGTATTCAGGTCACTCATTCTCACAGAAAGCAAACATATCCAGCATTTGTAGAACTCTTCTAATGAGTCTTACATAAATAGAGAGTATATTTTTGGGTCATTTTTATGGAAGTGCAACCTGAACAACTGTGAATCTCAATACCACTGATATGATACATCTCTATTTCTCTGCTCGTCACACATATGCCTGGGTCTATGTGGTCATCCTGGTACTCAAGCCTCCCCCTCATGTTGATCATGATCACCAGCCATCCCACAAGAGTCCACTTGTGGCTCAAAAACACATGTAGTGGCTAATCCTGCAGTTGAAGTTCTGATCTTCTATTAGTGTGTCCAATAAAAATGGATCGAGCTTTGTAACCTTTTATGTGTGAGGAATATTTCTGTCTTTTATCACTGTGCTTTAATTCTGTCTTGCGCTACATCTAACTGATGTCACATGTTTCTGAGAAGGGGAGAAATCATTACATGCAGGACTTACAACATAAAATAGCTATAAATTGTCAGGTGCTTGTGTGTATTTATGCATACTTTCAGTTTAACTTCAGTTTACTCAGTTATTTCTCAAATAAGTGAGTAAACCTATTAACAGCTATCTGCAGAGGACTCTTTGACTTACTATGAGAGCATGTTCTCGCCCCATTGTGATGACTGTCCTGTTGATAATGGTGAGCAGAGAGACCACGATGTCCTGGACGTGTTGAAATGTTTCTCCCTAAAGCACAAAAACGAACAGACATTTTTCAAAAACACACTTTACAGAACAGTCAAGTTACAACCGTTTACACATTTGAAAACCCGTCTAAAAAGAACAGTTTGTTCTTTTGAAAAGAGGAGACTTTACAGTACATTTGCAGTTGCATGGTTTGGTATCGGATAGATGTCCTTATTACATTTTAATGTTTTAATTTCCACTCCTTTCAACAGCATTATTTAGATATTTGAATAATAAAATCCTAGCTGTTAGAATAATTTAACTAAAAAACACATTAGATAAGATATAGGGAAATTACCTGCATATGCTTGATCATGCACTGGCAATATACTGAGGTCCTCCACATGGCAGGGGAATTTGCAACATCTACTCATATATTTTTGACATACATTTTGAATACATGGTTCCAAATGAAACCAATTTTCCTCTCTGCTTATAGCTCCATTACCCTGTTTGCCGTCATCACTGGCTTACAGTACATATAAGCTGGTCAAAGCAGATACTCAGTATTACCTTGGGTCATTAGTGTGCAATGAAGCATCTGCTCAAGCCACACTTCTGCTTTAATACCACAGAGTACAGCTGTGTATATACCTGTGCATAATTAAAATAATATCCTCCAAATTACATGCATGTTTGGGTTGTGTAAACTGTTAACTCTGAACATCTGAATATGGAAATGACAACATTAGCATAAGCATGGAGAGTGGCAGGCAAGACATGGTCACAGAAAATGTGTTTGGAGGAAGAAGCACTGTGGTAAAAATGAAAGTGAATTATAACCGGATTTTAAGCCAAAATGGCATTGAGGAATGTTATGTTAAACTTTATAAAGGCTTGTAAGCACTCATTTTCAGCATTACCTCCACTATAGTTTTATAGCTGAGTTCATTTCAAGTAATATGTGCTTGTAAATCCATACATTACTTAATTGAATATACTTCTCAACACTGACAAAAAAGCAAGGATAGGATTGGTTATGAAGATATAACCTTGTATTATGTGTTACACTAAATAACCTTTTGAATGGACAGGAAAGGCCACATTCACTCCTCGTCTTCATCCTAGCACCAACTCAGGAACCGCTTCATTTATTTCCTGAGGTGGATGTTTTATCAATGTTATGACAAAACAAAACCTCGCACAGGAAGAGACACGGGGAGAAAAGGTGAAGCCAGGCATGACTGACTTTGAGTTTGTGTTATCCTTTATCACTAAGCACAGTCCTGAGTGTGCGCCAGAGAAGAAGACTTATTTATGCATTCGATACAGGCTCTCAGCACCATTTGTCTTGACTTCCCTGTGTGCATCTCTCTGTCAAGTTTAGAAAAATGTGCACTTTGACAACTTTATCACAACCCAAAAGCTAAAATGAAAGGGGGTGGACAAACATATAATTGCTGCAGAACAAAGTTGGTAAATTATCAAGGAGGCTTACACAACTGACTTGTCATTCATCAAACTCTCGAGTTACACAACAAAAAAATATAGAATAAATTGTTGCGCACTGTACAGTCCAGAGAGTGAATCTATGTAAAACTCTTATTAACATTCTGGACACTGTGTCAATACAGTAATAAATCAGTGGTGTCAATGCTTATAAGGTCAAAGCTGCAAAAAGACTCCCATATGTAAGCCCTTAATTGACCCCACTTTACGCGCTTAGAGAAAATTCAATATACTTATGCAGATTTCAGATTCCCTGTTGCCTTTACTGCCTCTTCTTGCATAAATATTAGGCAGACCTTGAGCAGGCAATTCAAAGACTCTGTGGACTGGTCATATTCTGTGTATGAATAATCATCCCAGCTGGGTACTGACAAATGTCCAATTAAATGTGTTTTTTTTTTTTTCATGTTTATTCCAACCTGTCTCATTGCATTGTTATATTATATTTATACCATCTATTTGTAAGGCATTATTGTTACTTATCACCAACAACATGTGTATTGCAATGATTTCTTTCTGTAGTTGAATGAACGCATTACTATACTGTGAATAATTTAAACCAAAGTATTAACATCTCTCCATAGACAAACAGGTCCCTCTGCAGAAAAGTTTCACAGTGCAATTTAATGCATTACATTTGTATGGTGCTTTATAAGCTTGACAGACCTCAGGTGCCCTGGGGTAATCTGCGTCATCATTTTTCTGGCTACCACCAATCAATTATGTAAAAACATATCAAACATAAGCAAGGTGGGCAAACTGTCTTGCCCAAGGGCACAACAATAGGCTCTGGTCAGAGAAAGAATTGCTTTAGTAGGCAAGCCTAAAGAGCCGCTGCCACCCCCTCCCAGTGCATTTCTGTGTATGTATGGGTTTGAGATCATAAAAAATAAAGGTATGTGGCCTGTTTGATTCCTACTTGGTGGTAAGAGGTAGGGCAGAGTTAATGTTGGCTTTGAATTTTTTTGAAATATTTTCAGATTTTGCTCTTTTAAGATTACAAAGAGCACCTGATGTTTGTGTCCACATTGTTATTTGAGTTCCCCCAGCAATATTGTTAGATAAGCTCCTCCACAGAGGTGACACAGTGACACAGAACACAGTTCACAGGCCACAGTCGGTGGTCACATGACTTACCACATTGCCCCTGCTGAGGACTTCCAGGATGTTGTTGAGAAGCTCCAGGCTGTTCCTTCGATCATCATGGGGTCCATCGGCCATGCTGGCCAACGCCACACGCAGCTCCCGCAGCATCATGGGTAGTAAAACATCACGGCAATCTGAGAGAAAGGGACACTTGATAAGGATTTTTTTTTTTTTTAAGGTTTAGTTAAAACAATATTACAGTACTCAACAAATCAAATATAAAATCCAAAAAACAATAAAAAATAAACATATGTGAAGATACACTTTATAACATTTCTGCTGTCTACCACCTGCTTATTTGCATAGAGATTTTATTGCTTTTATTGCTGGAAGCTCAGATTTGTGTAGTCCTTTGTGAGCAATATAACATTTTTAAATGATAAATAAGTTTAATGCCAGGGCCAAACAGGTGGTGGATGCCACACCAGAAAAGTCTTTAAAGACGACATATTGAAATCAGTTAATCATCACCTTGAAAGGAACTGAAAAACACTTGCTCATGACTAATAGATCAAAATGCATACATACATGTTCTCTGGAAATGAGATCAAAACTAGTGCAAAGAGTCCCAGAGGCCTTTAATCATTTGGTGTTGCACCTGTGGAGACAGCTGCACCCACAGTGCCATGAATAATGACACCATGGACCCCTGAAGAAGAAATTCAGCCTCACCCCACAATGGAGTCGTATCAATCAAGTGTCTGTTTACAGTCTCAACCAGGAACACTGCTCTGTCAGCCAGGAAGTCAACACATCAATCACCCAAACATAAAGTTTTTCAATTCTTTTTCCTAATTAATCATCATTATGTCTGTTATTTAATATGTCAGCTATGCCACCATATCTACAGAGAAGAGTAATTAGTGTCATGGAATAATTGAAATATATCTGCATATGTTAACAGATTTGCCATGCTGTTTCATCGCATTATGACTGAATAGTTAATAAAATGTGCTGAAGGGTTGCTTACTAAATCTGTTTTGTGCTTGTAGTTATTAAGCACATTCAACTACAGTCACCACTGTGTCACAGATGCAACAGCAAAGGAAATCAGCAGAACAGGAAAAACGAATTGGCTCAATTTGTCTGGCAAACAAAAATTAGATTTATCAGAATTATAAGTTTGTTCCAGAGGGAAAATTCATGAGATAGATTTTCAGAACACAACAGAATGATAAAGAAAACAGAGAAAAGGAATCTGAAAATGAATATATAACCATGGTTAGGGTAACTTTAAGTAAGAATATGTATTTAGATTTATGTAGTTTTGCCTGA